TGTGTTTTTTTTTACTTTAAACCGCATAAACACATTTCATTACACCAAATACACAAAATAATGTTCTTTTTAGCAGCATCATATGACCCCTTTAAAGTTATGGAGCAACATGATTAAAGTTAATCTATCTTAAATATAAATTAAATCCAGGATCAAGATGATGGTTTAAATGTAATCCTGCTTATTTTTAAACAAGGTTTAAAGTTTGGTGCAACGGAATTATTAGATAAACCTTGATTTAATCTAGATTAAAGCTTAATCCTTGTTGGTGCAACCCACCCTAAAGGTTATTTTCTCAATATTTAGATTTTTTTGCACCCTCAGATTCCAGATTTTCGGACAAATATTGCCCTAAACTAACAAACCATACATCAATGGAAAGCTTATTTATTCAGCTTTCAGATTAAGTATAAATCTCAATTTCCAAAAATTGACTCTTATGACTGGTTTGGTCCAGGGTCACAAATAATGTTTCAGAAAAATAACTTTCTATAAACAATGTATAAATAATTTGTGTGCGTGTGTGTGTGTGTGTGTGTGTGTGTGTGCGCTAACATTTTGAGAACATTGTTAACATCAAAAAGCTTTGAATGAACATACTAATAATGTTACTGGATTGTTACATTTGTTCAGATCTTTGAGAGAATCTAGCCATAGTTCTAAGAATGTTATCGCTGGGAATATGTTATTTACATTGACTAAAAACAGATGCCAATTTAGGTGAGTATAACCGACTAAAATAACAAATTTGACATTGATTAAATTGAAAGGATATTTCCACCAAAAAGCAAAAGCTGGCAAAAACTGTAAAAAAAAATTAACGCTGGGGTCTTTTTCTTAGGAGAACATCTGAGAAGAAAGAAACTTCTGGGGCCTGTTTCATAAAACTAGTTTACCAAATAAGCCAGGCTTACTTCAGTTAGTCTGACATATTGTCAGTTGATTTGGTTCAAAATAAGTCGGACTAACTGAAATAAGCCTGGCTTATTTGGTAAACTTGTTTCATGAAACAGGTCCTAGCTCTCCATTCTTGTTGCTGTTGAGATTAAAAAGAGATTTATTTTCTGATTTCTAACATTCATAGTTTTCTACCATACTCCTTATTGATGGTTCACAATGGCATTGAGAGGGTAAAATGTGCTGTTGCAGAAACAAAGCATTCCAGAGTGTCATTCATAGCCTGCGGAGTCTGAAACTGAAATCCCTGTCACCCGAAGCACAGCTGAAGAAAAGAGCCTCGGCTTCTGGACATGCAAACACTTGTATCATACTTGCACTTTGGCCACAGGTCACATACGCTCACACTCGGGTCAGAAACCAACTGGGACTCGGGGGTGAAATGTCACCAAAAGTGATAAAAATGCCCCAGATAATATATAAACTGCAAACATTCCTCTTTTCTTTTTTTGTTGCCATACTGCTATTTTTCTGTTTTATTTTTCTATTTTATAAAATGTACCGCTCTATCCGTAAAGTGGAAAAATTGTTTATTCTAATTAATTTGAATAACATATTTGAATATTTAGTGAATATCTGTTTCTGTTTTGCTAGTCTTTTATCAAATCGTGCTTGAGGCGGCATCATCACAGTATGGTGAGGGGCGTATCATTTCCGTCTCACGCTTGAGGTATTCGGCTAATCACAACGCACTGGATAGCTGGCTAATCAGAGCACACCTCGCTTTTCAGACCGATTAGTTTTGTAAAAATCGACGCGTTTCAAAAAGGCGGGGCATAGAGGAGAATACAGTATGTACAGTATGTGGAAAATAATGTGTTTTTTTAACTTTAAACCGCATAAACACATTTCATTACACCAAATACACAAAATAATGTTCTTTTTAGCAGCATCATATGACCCCTTTAAAATTTATGAAATTGAAACAAATTGGATTCATCGATGACAAATGAATAAACCTGGTTACTACGCATTTAAAACATTCCGTTTTTATAGAAATCTGTTTCATTTATGTAGGACTGACAAATATGCATCATATTATTTTGAAACTGTCCAAATGGAAGGAAATTTGAAGTGCAATTCAAATACACAAATCTTGCATTTAGGCCTAAATACGGATTTTTTTTTCAAATGAAATAATTGGAAAAAAGGTGCATAGTGCTTATTGCAGTACGCTTTTAGATTCACTCTCTCTGCAGTCTTGAGGGGAGACATGCAGAAAAGAGTTCGGTGGGTCCTCCTCCCCTTAAAAGTGGGAGGGAAATGGGCTGTGACAGCCTGAGGATGCCGTCTACTTCTGTTGACTCACTTCAGAGTCTGCTTCACTCACTCTCACATCACCTGAGGAACGCTGAGCTGCACACCTGCGCTGCACGCTTGTGGCAAGAGGCTTTGCTGCCAAAGGTGAGTCACTTTTCAACATCTAATAAAAATATGAGCCTTTCTTTTATTGCTGTCTTTGAGCTTTGCATTTTTAGTCGGGTAATTAAGTCTCTATGGAAGGTAATATACTACTATAATGTATAGTACATGCCAAGCAGGTTTGTATAAAAAAAATATCAGTGTGAGTTAAAGGTTTTATGTGCCCTTGGAATTTGTTAATCATTTATTGATTCATGTTTGAGGAAAAAATGCATTAATTCACAAAGAAAATAAGAAAATGTGTTTTGCATAAAGACAATGAGAATAAATGATCTTTTTGTATTGCATGTGACATTTTCATGTCATTTAAGCATGCTTTCTTTACCAATTTTTACATTTGCATTATTATAAATGTTTTGTAATGTATTTAACTAAAGGAAATAATGCAACAAATACTTTCATGTTCTGTAAATACTTTTTTGAAGAAATTCAATGTATTTTTTTTTTCATATTTTTTCACACTAATGAAAATTATTATATAATATTTTGAGGACATTTTTGACTTGCCAAATTTCATATTGCCATTTTATTTATACAATCAATGGCCTTGAACTAAGCTTAATTCTCTTCGTGAAAAATATAACGTTTAATTTTTGTCTTTTGATTTTGGCATGAAATGTGATCTTGCAGAGAAAAGAAAATGTGTTTTGCATAAAGAAAATGAGAATAAATTATAGTTTTGTATTGCATGTGACATTTTCATGTCATTTAAGCATGCTTTCTTTACCAATTTTTACATTTGCATTATTATAAATGTTTTGTAATGTATTCAACTAAAGGAAATAATGTAACAAATACTTTCATGTTCTGTAAATACTTTTTTGGAAAAAATTCAATGTATTTTTCCCCCCATATTTTTTCACACTAATGAAAATCATTATATAATATTTTGAGGACATTTTTTGACTTGCCAAATTTCGTATTGCCATTTTATTTATACAATCAATGGCCTTGAACTAAGCTTAATTCTCTTTGTGAAAAATATAATGTTTAATTTTTGTCTTTTGATTTTGGCATGAAATGTGATCTTGCAGAGAAAGAAAATGTGTTTTGCATAAAGAAAATGAGAGAAAAAAAATATTTTTGCATTGCAAGTGACATTATTTTTGTGACATTTAAGCATTGCTGCAATTTAAAAAAAAATGTGTATTATAAATGGTTTTGTAATGTAATAAAATAAAGAAAATAACAATCAATGGCCTTGAAATAAGCTTAATTCCCCTCATGCAAAATGTTATTTTCCTCTTTTGATTTTGGGGTAAATTGTGATCTGGACATGTTCTTTTCAAGCTTCTATTAATATACTAATATATTATGATTTTTGCAGGAGTGGCAGTCATGGCTCATACGTTGAGCTGGTCTGTGTTGTGTTTTGTTTTGCTGAGCGTTTGGGCTCAGGATTTCTATGAGGAAAAAACTGGACCAACAAGAGTTAAGACTAGAGGACAGACGGCAGCCGTTCTGCAGAAACACAACGGTCAAGGTGAGGCATCTCTTTGTTGTGTGACAGTATGCATGCATTGTTTTAGTAGAATAAATACATTATATAGATGGTCTGTTGTGGATATTGTTGATTTGTAATGATCCAATCAATTGTCAACGGTTAAAATCAAGTCCTGTCCTACATGTTTTCTTATTGAATATCCTGTTTCACTCAGTTGTGTCACATTATGAAGCTAAAATGGGTTGCAAATGCATTTGATGTTGACTTTACCCATAAATGTGGTTGTTCTTGACACCTAATAAGGATATTTGTTTCTCTTCTTTACTATGTATGAGCTATAAACTCATGGGTCACCATCAGTGCATCTCATACTGTCTAAGAAACATAAAGCTAGTTTTATGCCTTAAAACATGCAATGTCATGTTAGGACATACTAGACATACTAGCAGCATATTTAAAGGCCGTCTAGGAGGAGGATGTGTCTGGATGTAGTGATTTTGGAGCCCTGAGGTGTTCAGTTCTCCTAACATGAACATGATTTATTCATATCTGTATAAGAGCCGGTAGGCCATGTCTTGTCACTGGTGACATGAAGACTGATGAGCTGCTGTGTTGAAAGTAAGATCAGATGACAGATTGCATTGCTTCATGAGTCCAAAAAGGATCATTAGGAGACTTGGAGGATTAGAGTTCTTTTTTTTTTAGACGACATTGACATTTTCTGAAACATTGTGGAATAATGTAACTTTTTCAGAAAAAAAAAAAAGACAAATAGCTAGATAAATGGCAGGGCTGAGCACTATTCAGAAACTATTCAGAAGTGAATTTGCCTTTTAAATTCCCAATTTTATTAAAGTTGTAAGGATGCAAAACTGGAATTCTGGAATTTGAATTTAATGAAGCATGAAAAATGGAATGACATGTAAAGAAATGCATATTGCTGCAGTCAGTCTACTTTTTGATTGTTTTTAAATAAAGTAACTTTTATTTTATAGATCAGTTTTATATGAACAATGATCTAATTTATTTTACAAAAAGTTATAATTTATCCAATTTACTCAATATTTCTAATATGTAATTATATAATGTAATTTACTTAAAATATTATGTATCTAATTTATCTAATTTACTCAGTATATATAATATATCTAATTTATTCAATATTTTATAAAATATTTAGTTTTCTTAATATGCATTATGAATGTTATCTTACGCACAACATATTAGATATTTCCGGTAACACAAACACACACACACACATTATTTTATTATTGACTAATATATTTTATAAAAAAAAATTTATATAATAAATTGACTTTCACTTTATAAAGCACTTAATTTCCCACAATGGTCTAATTTACTCAATATATTATGAAATATTACATATCTATTTATGTAATTTACTCAATATATGTAACATCTAATTTACACAATATTTTATCAAATATTATATATTTATTAAATATATCAATTTTTTATTTTTTTTATTTTTTTTTAAATCTGAAAACAAAGTGTTGGCCATTTTGTGGTGTTGATAGCTGTGTTACTTAATGACAATATTAAACTTAGTACAGAGAAATATGCTGAATCATATTCTACATATCAGGGAATAATTAGTCAAAATTAATCATGTATTTATTTATGTTTTGTCACAAAACATATGGTGGACTAATGAATTTCCTTTGTTGTTTGACTGTGTTGAATTTCTTCGAATTGCAACTCAGTAAATTCCTGCCTATCCAATCAAAATAAAAAGGAGTCATTCTGAATTTACCCAACTGTATAATAGTTGATAGTCCTTCCCTTTTTTCCCCATGCTGTGGCCTCAGCCATCTTGGACGAGGACTGCGGTCTAGAGTTGGCCTTCCTGCTGGACAGCTCTGAGACGGCCAAGGACAACCACCAGCAGGAGAAACAGTTCACTATGGACATTATAGAAGGCCTCCAGAGCATCCGCTTGGACACAGCTCGCAAACTCAGCTGGAGAGCGGCCCTGCTTCAGTACAGCAGCCACGTCATTATCGAGCAGACCCTCCAACAGTGGAAAGGCTCGGAGAACTTCAAGAGCAGCATCGCGCCGATGGCCTACATCGGCCACGGCACTTACACCACCTACGCCATCACCAACATGACCAAGATATTTCTGGAAGAATCGAGCCCTGAAAGCATCAAGATCGCCCTGCTCCTCACAGATGGGACTTTTCATCCCAGAAACCCTGATATCTTCTCTGCTATGGCTGACGCAAAGAACCAGGGTGTGAAGGTCTTCACGATTGGCATCACCCGTAGCGCCAATGAACCTGCCAACACAGCAAACCTGAGACTGCTGGCCAGTACGCCGGCCACCAAATTCCTCTATAATCTACAGGACACGAACGTCATGGAAAAAGTCATAATTCAGATTGTAAGTATGGTTTCGCCAATCACTCATTCTGTTCTCATACTGTATGCATAGGCAGGCCCACACAAAATTCTTCACAAATTTCTTAGAACTGCTCAAATTATACTCATTCCAGCAACTTGAGTATATTTGTGTTCATTATTTTGGCTTCAGCTACCAATAAGGGTATATTCAGCTTCACTTATTACTGTTTACCATGTTTAAATCCAGATTTTTTTTGGTAACACTTTATTTTAAGGTGTCCTTGTTACACATGTTACATTGTACTTTCTATTATAACAATACATTTGATAAAACGGAGAGTTCCGGTCCTTGATTCTGATTGGTTGAGCCAAGTTCAAAGCTGTTGTAAATTACTCTACAAACATAGCGTGCGTCCCAAATCGCGTACTTATGCACTATTCTATGATGTTTTATAGTATAAATAGTGTGAGTAGTGCGCTCACACTGAAAATTCCAAAAAGAAAAAGAGCACTTTAAACACCCGGATGATGCACTTAAATAACCAAAAAAAACGAAGTGTGGAATGTTGGACACTTCATGCACTCAACTGTCGCAGCTTTAATTACGTAACGAAGGGGGAGAGGCTATCAGACTCCGATTATAAATGACAAAATAACCTTATATAATTCATTCACTACATGATTGAGTACATAGTGCATAAGTACATAATGTATGAGTGCATAGTGTATAGTGCGTCATTTGGGACGCAGCTATACACCTTTGTTTACATTTGTGTGTTGCTCGGCAACCACTTTGTTGGAACCACAACTGTTTCTGAGGAACTACATTGTTTGGCGGAAGAATAATGTTTTTATTAATATCATTACACTTTATTTGCTCTTTTTTATTTTGTGAAACCTTACTACGTATATGGAATAACCGTTTTATAAAAGCAATAAGCCCCGTGAAGCCGTGGTTTACAGTGAATTTATAACAGCTAAGGGGGTTTTAGGCACTCCGCTTCACGTCGTTCCTAACAACAACCCTTTGCTGTTATAAATTCACTGTAAACCACGGCTTCTTGGGGCTTATTGCTTTAATGCATAATTACGCATATAACCCTAAGCCAAACCCTAATCCTACCATATAGTAAGTAAATGTACACTGTAACAAGAACATCTTAAAATAAAGTGTAACCATTTTTTCATTAAAATGAGTTCAGGAAATGCAAAAAGTCTCCTGATTCTGTCTGGGCTTGTTCAAGAGTGAAGGCGTTATAAGAGTTACAAGCTACTATAACACTTCTCCAGCAGCGAAGCAGCCAACTAGCATAGTAGAGCTCTGTGTACACGTTTGGGCATCTATACAGATTTCATTCCATTTCAATTCACAAGCTTCCATTTTAGTTCCAGGATTTGACTTGATTTATCATACATTTTTGATGTATCATACATTTTCACACAGCCAGTTAATAATATAAGCTTGAAAAGGGTGTGTCCATTTTAGACTGATTCAAAAGGTAGCTAACTGCTGAATCTTTGTGAACTAATCTTTTTTTTTTTTTTTTGCTCTGGATATTAGTATTGTTTGCACTGTATGTTTTTGATTCACTAAAAAGAACTGGTTCAAAAGAGTCATCTGGAATTCCAAACAAGGATGTGGTCAATTCAATCCAAATGCACACTTCATGACTCAGTTCTTAAAATTGACTAATTGTTATATACTGTTTCTGTTTGATCTTCTTTTACATTAGTATTATTATTATTGGGTCCATTCAGATGATCCCTCGGACTGATTCAAACGTCTGAATCTTTTTGAATGATTCATTTAAAGAAGAATCTTTTTGAATGATTCATTTAAAGAACTGAGTTGACTCATAAGAGTTATTTGTTGTGCTGTGTATTGGTTCTGCTGTTTGATTCACTAAGAATCAAATTACCGATTCAAAAGAGTTATTCTTATGCTGTGTATAAAACGCTGACAGAGTAAACAGTTCATGTTGGGATTTTCAAAAATGATATGGAGATCGTTCAAAATTAATATCAAAATGAATAATTGGAAAATCAGTTTGCTGGTCTTAATTGGCCTGGTTTTTATGGTTGGACTTGCCATTTGGCCAGGCTGGGAGACCTGCTAAACCAGTTTAAAGCAGACAAGACCAGCTAACCACATTTGACACTGTATTTGATAAGTATTTGGACACACAGAAGATAAAATAATGATGTGCTGTTTTTCTAGTGTTTTGGGACCCCTGACACCTAAAGATTAGCCTTTCTACACTTCATTTACTATAACTAGAGTAAACACGTCCTGTTGTTGCTTTTCTGACATGCATCTGGGTTTATATATTCCATACATCCTTGTTGCCATTCCTGCTGTTATACTGATATATATCCTGCAGGTTTAATTTTTCTCATTTGTACAGAAACACTTTGATATAATTCCAATGGAAAGCAAGACTAGGCATGTTAAATGATACCGTTTCCTTTAATCACATTTGTTGCTCTGGGAGATTTGTATAATGTATGGCCTGATATTAACTGTTCGTACTGTTTACCCAAACCGCACAAATGAAAGGCTTGCCAAAGAGCGGCAATTATAATATAGCAGCTAAAATTTGGACAGAATCTAATTTTCTTCGTGTTACTCTCTACACAGGCTCAGCTGGCAAACGATGGGGTAAGTAAATAATATTAAAAGTCTTTTATGGTAATATGCATTACTGCAGTGTTGAGGAATAGCTAATTATTCTCCCATATTCTTATTGGGTAGAGTAAGAAAGTCTGATTCATTCTATTGAACCAGTTCACTCGGATTAGTAAATGAAATAAACAGATTTGAAAGATGACTCACTGATGTGAGTCTCTACACTGAATTATTATGTATCTAGTTTATATATATATACATACACACGCACACACACTGTTTTTTTCTGCCAGAAAGTAGTTTTTCCCCATCTCTGCCTTATTGAAACAAAGCAAATAAAACTGCCTTTTCCATTTATTTACACTCTTTCCTCTATATTTAGTGTCCTCTGTCCCCGAAGTGTGCTTGCGAGAAGGGCGAGAGAGGACCTAGCGGCCCGGCGGTAAGTATTTTCACTTCAAACTTCCTCCAACATGGGACGGTGTTTCCACGCGAGCCCACAGGCGCATTTTTCTCCTTTTTTCTATTCCTAAGACGGTACGGATTCCTTTGAGGAATGTCAACAGTGGGAAGAGACAGGCATGATTCTGACATTTTGGATAACTGCTCTGCTTTGTAAAAGTCAGGATAATTATCGTCTTTGTCAGGACCCCTCAGCACCACCTTGGGCAAATCACAAAATAAGATTCCTCAAAAGAAGTCTCCTTCATGTTCAGACTGTTGAAAGTGAAGAGAATGTAATTGCATGTTTTGGCTGAAAACCTTGACTTTCAAACACCTACGGGTCCGAAATTAACGTTTTGCTACACCTGCCTATGACGGGTTAATGGCCTTAGTAATATATATATTTTTGCAGTTATTTAGCATTTTGTCCATGCATTTTTGAGACACAAAACGCATGCCGTTGTGTCACTTGCCGAATTATATGCAGTCTTCAAAGTTACCACTTTGAACTGAGTTTGATAACATAGATGCACTGAACAAATTCAGACTGACTTGAGATGAAATTATATGAAACTGATTACTCTTTTAACACGGTTTATAACGCTAACCTGAAGTGTGTAGAAGGCCGGATCATGTTAGAGTCAGTTATTTATTGACAGACGCCTAACCATCATTATCCAGGTGCTTTCACCTCTCTGGGATTCCACACATTCTCATGACTATAAATTACAGGCCTCAGTAATTGTTCTCATTAGTTTAACCTCCTCTGGCCAGCACTTTTAGCACTGACCAGGTGCCAAGTGAACTCATAGACTGTCCTTGTTCATTCATAGTGCTGTTTGGTTTATTTTAAAGAATTGTTTCATTTGAACTGGTTAAAAAAACAATTAACTTCACAAAATTGTAAATCTTTTTTTTTTAATCGAAATATTTAGCAAAAGAAAAAAAAAACGTACATTCCTAATAGGTGGTTTTGTTAGATGTAGGAAACTTCTGGCGAACAATTTGTCCTCAAACAGTAGGTAGTTCAGAAACATAAATCAGTGTTAATGTTAACTAAAACTATATAAATTAAAATGAAAGCTGAACGTATAAAAATAAAAGATAAATCAAAATATTAATAACAAATATATAAACAAACATAAAATAAAACCTTGAAGTCACTTGCCAAATTGTTGTTATGTGTCCTCTATGAAAATTAAAGGGATAGTTAATCCAAAAATCTTCTTACCCTTATGTCATTCCGAACCCATACGAGTTTCTTTCTTCTGTGGAACACGAAGGAACATAGTTTGAGGAATGTTGGTAACCGAATAGTTTCGGGTCCCATATTTTTTATCCATACAATGGAAGTCAATGAGACCTGAAACCGTTTGATTACAAAAAATTTTCAAAATACAGTATCTTCTTTTGAAGAAAGAAATGCATACAGGTTTTCATTTTTGGGTGGACTATCCCTTTAAGTGCATGCACTACATTTTGATTGGTTAGTTTTATGGGTCTAATAAACCCATCAGGTCATTCATTTTTCTATTGAGCAAACATTTGGGTGGAGTTGACACAGCTTCACACTTTCTCCTATTTCCCCTGCAGGGAAAGAAGGGTCGCCCAGGTGAGGATGGAGCCCCTGGGGCTAAAGGTCAAAAGGTCAGTATTTTGTTTTTATTACTGCTGTCTATCTGTCATTCTCTCTGCCGTGTGCTTGCTTGTGTGGATGCAATTGGAAATATAATGAGGAAGCTGAAGGTTAGTTATATCGTTGTGTTTTTGTCACTTCCTATTTCTACTTTAGATTTCATAAACACTTTCTCATAACGAACAGTACAGGAATCAAGACTAACAAACTGTATTTTATAACCGTTTCTGAAAATCACTTGTTTTGTGCTCTTGTTAGGGTGAATCTGGTTTGAGTGGACTTCCTGGTCGAGAGGGTACAGAGGTGAGGGGCTGAAGCAGGGTCACAAAATCACTGCTTATTCGTCAAATATTGTGCTACATGACTGAACGAATGAAAAAATATTTGGGTAAAATGAAACAAGTATGTACAGAAAAAAGGTTTAAAAAATGTCAGGTGGTGTAATCAACAAGAAAATAGTAATCAGATATTGTACACAACTTAATCTTAATTTTTAATTTTTAATGTTTAAAAAGGTTAAATTATTGTGACAAATATTTGTATTTTACATATGTTTATTTACATATATATA